CAACCAATCAAGATTTTTGTGAGGAGTTTAGAATGATGATGGCAAGTGAGTTTGAGATGTCTATGATTGGTGAGCTTAGCTACTTCCTTGGTCTTCAAATCAAGCAAATAAAGAATGGCACATTTATAAGTCAAGGCAAGTACATCAAAGATATGCTCAAGAAGTTTGGCATAGATGAGAGCAAAGCTATTAGTATACCAATGGGGACAAATAGAAGCTTGGATAGTGATGCTAGTGACAACATGGTGGATCAAAAGATATATCGGTCTATGATTAGAAGCCTACTCTATGTGACTGCATCAAGGTCGGATGTGATGTTTAGTGTATGCATGTGTGCTAGATTTCAAGCCTCACCAAGAGAAAGTCATTTGAAGGCAACTAAGAGAATATTGAGGTACTTGGAGCTTACACAAAATGTTGGATCGTGGTATCCCAAAGGAGCAAGATTTGAGTTGATTGGATATTTGGACTCTGATTATGAGGGATGCAAGGTAGAGAGAAAGAGCACATCGGGCACATGTCGACTATTAGGAAGATCACTTGTGTCTTGGTCATCAAAGACGCAAAATAGTATAGCACTTTCAACCGCTAAAGCGGAGTACATTTCGACCGGTAGTTATTGTGCTCAATTACTTTGGATGAAGGGTACTTTGAGTGACTTTGGGATCAAGTTCAAACAAGTGCCATTGCTATGTGACAATGAGAGTGACGTGAAGCTCACCAACAACCCGGTTTAACATTCAAGAATAAAGCACATAGATATCCGCCATCATTTCATAAGAGATCACTAAAAAAAGGGGACATTTGCATTGAGAATGTGGGCACCGATGATCAACTTGCCGATATATTTACCAAGCGACTTGATGAGAAGAGGTTTTGTAAGCTAAGAAATGAATTAAACATACTTGACTTCTCAAATATGTGTTGATGCACCCCCTATTATATGACATGCCTCTCCTTCGAGCAAAGCAAGGTAAAATTGATTGACACGTCATTCATCCATTGCCAAGGACTTGTTTAGTGCATCTAGTCATTCCTCACATGTCTTAGGCTCATTCATGAAAATCAAATGAATTTGATGCTTGTATGGTACTACTATTGCTTGTATGCTTGAAATGATCTAGTAGTAGCATATGACATGTTTGTGGGCTTGTGAACCTAGTGTTTAATCTAGAAAATGAGCTATAAGTGTTTAACTCAACATGGTAAAGATAACCCTTGAAATAAGGTGTGAAGAAGCTTGCTCTTGGATCAAACTGAGTTAAATATCTTTTGCAAGTGATCTAGATTGAACCAAATATGAGAAAATGATCCTCACTTAACATGATTTCACCCTAACCTATCTAAAATTAGAGCTCACCTTTTGTGGTATTTGATGCCAAAGGGGGAGAAGTAATTCACAAAGATAGGGGGAGAGAAACACAATGATAAAGATAGGAGAAAGTTAGGGGATCAATTAAAATTTGAAGCATACAAGTAGGGGGATGTCGATGTTTTACCACCGGCAACCCGTCACGGGGTACCCGGGACGGTGATTTGTTCGGAAGGGTATCGGCATTTACAGGAACTCGATGGTAAACGCAGGGAGACAATGATTTATACTGGTTCAGCACGCCGGAAAGTCACGATGCCCTATGTCCAGTCTGGTGTGGATAGTATATTGCGCCCTGTGCTATTTGTTGTGTTGCGAGGTATGTTGTGGTTGTGAGTTCTGTCGGTTATGTGTGTGTGCCGATCTAGGGACCCCTGCCCTCCTTTATATAGTCCAGAAGAGGTGGGAGTCCTAGTCGATTACAAAGTAGAGATCCTAGTAGGATTATGTGTAACTAGTCCTAGTAGGATTACATGTAGAGAATCCTATTTGGACTAGGTTTTCTTCTCTCTTCTCCATGGGGAAACCTATGGGTCCCGCATCAACAGGGGAACAAGCTCATAAACTTATATGTTGCATTTGTATGTGCATTACATATGCTTGCTTGCATGACACAAGTTTTAAATTCCATATCCATGCTTGTATGGTATATGCTAGTTGTAGGATTCATTGATGATATGGAAATCTAGCATGTATAGGATGATAGTTAGATGTGCCTTGCATGTTTTACAAGTGGTATTAGAGCCTTGCTTATAATGTTGATCTCACGAGATATCTAGTGTTTGTGTTTTGCAAGTGCTATCTAACTAATCATGGTGCTTAGGATGGTGTTCAAATGGCAACTCCGATTGGTATCACGCTTCAAAGGTCCATTCTTTATACCTTAGCATTATTTGGTAGATATTACTTCCCCACTCTTTCTAATCCATGCATATGTGCAAGCTTTCAAATCCAAACTCTTAGCACATATGTAGGGGGAGCTAATGCTACCAATTTGGGTTTATGAAACTTGTCCATATCCTTTACACATGGTAAAATGCTTGGGCAAGCAACATGAATCCTAAAAGATTTTATTGAATATCTTTGTGAAAAGGTTGTCATCAATTACCAAAAAGGGGGGAGATTGAAAGCCCTAATTTGGTTTTGGATAATTGATGAAACTTATGTACTAACCTTTGTCATGAGTTACGATATGAGCAAGGTTGGTGCAATCCAAGTGTGGAGCATGGTGGCACTCAAGAGAAGGTGTTGATCTCATGAAATGATGAGATGGCCACATGTGATGATGATCAAGTGCTAAACTTGGAAAAGAAGAAAGAGAAAAACAAAACCCTATGAAGATCAAGGCAAAGGTATAAATAGAGATTTTGTTTCGGTGATCAAGATACTATAGAGAGTGTGATCACGTTTAGGATAGATGGCCGTACTATTAAGAGGGGTTCTCTACTAGACAATTCGGTTATCTAGTGCCACTAGGTGTTGGACTTCATGCATTGCATTTAGGCCTAGTGTGCAATCGGAGAGCAAGCGAAAATATTTTTGAGAAATGCTAACTTGGCTCTAACATGTTTTGAGAAAACACTTTGAGAGTTAGCATCGCTTGCGGGGAGTAGCTCGAGTTGATGTGGATCGAAACGCAAAAAAGTTTGCAAGTCGGTGACCTAGTGGAGGTGCCTAGGTGGCACCGCCACCCTCTATCCGGTGCACCGTCACCCCTAGCGTGGTGCCCACCTGGATATGCTAGTGTACACTGCCTCGAACGTGGCGGTGCACCACCATTGGGTGTCCAGTGCCACCGCCGTTTTTCTCTAGAGACGGGCGTAAGCAAAGGGGGCATCGCCATGGGTGTGGCGATGCACCGCCTTATTTTTCCAGAGACTTGGTTTCCGGGGGTGTTAGCTGGGTGGTCACCGCCACCCCTGTCCAGTGACCAATAGCCATTGGAATTCGACCGTTGGAGGGCACCGCCACCCTGTTCGGTGCCAGGCACCGCCCTGTTCGGTGCCCTCACAGAAACAGCTCCAAGGTGTACAATGGCTCTATTTGCTTGTGTGGCTATAAATAGAGGGTGTGGCTGGCCTTCGCCATTATCTTGGCACTTCATACACTTGTGTACACCCTTTGGGAGCTGAGCAAACATAATCCACTCACTTGCACACTTGATTTCATCATTTGAGTGAGATTGGTGAGCCTCTAGTGCATTGCATTGAGTTGCATCATCTTGTGGCACTAGTTGGGTGATTTGGGCTAGTTGTGAGCTTGTTACTCTTGGTGTTTGCCGACACCTAGATGGCCTGGTGATTGGAGGATCGTTGAGCGGAGTTGGTGATTGTCTCCGGCCTCGATCGGTTGCTTATGCGGGTTCTTGACCTTCTCCCAACGAAGAGCCAAAATGTACTCTATTGGATTGCTCATGTCATTGAGCTACCTCACTTGTGGGTAGGTTCTTACAGTGTCCATTTGTTGGACGAGGTTCATGCAACACCTCTTAGCCGCCGAACCACCAAGTGTTGGTCGACACAACGGGGACTAGCGTGCCGGCAAGCACGTGAACCTCGGGAGAAAAATCGTGTGTCATTCTTGTGATTGGATTTCTCCCGGTGATTGGTTGTCTTCATATTGTAATTGGTTCATTTATCGACACGGCGGTATAATCACACTATCCACTCCCTTACATTTCTTGTAAACTAGTTGCTAAGCTCTTTAGCGTAGTTAGTCTTTGATAGCTTGTTAGTTTGATTAGTGTGGCTCTTTAGTTAGTCTTTGAGAGCACACTAGCTTAGTGAGTAGTGACTTAACTCTTGTGTGTGTCTAGTGATTATAGTAACTAGAATTATTGAAATTGGTGGCTTGCAACCCTTGTAGAGCTAGAGCAAAATTGCATTACACCGTTTGTTGTACTAATCAATTGCTCTAGTGCTTTGTAGAGTTTTTAAATAGGCTATTCACCCCCTCTAGCCATATTAGGATCTTTCAGAGATGGTTTTCGGAGCGACTATTGTCCATATATCGTGAATATTATACTCTCTCCGTCCCAAAATAAGTGCACATCTCACATTTCGAAAAGTCAAACGATCTTAGGTTTGACCAGATTATAGAAAATAGTATTAACATTTCTATTTCTAAATAGAATTAGTATGAGAACATATGATGTGATTAATTTAATAATGATTATTTGATATTATAAATCTCAGTATTCTTTTATATAGATCTGGTTAATCTTAAGTTTGTTTGACTGCTCGAAGGACGAGATGTGCACTTAATTTGGGATTGACAACAATCACATCACTGACCAAAAGCAAAAAAAATTCTTTTGCTTGTATATTATTTATTTCCGTCAAACAAAAAAACCAGGTTCTTCTTATGCCCCAGCTATTCCATCTTGGCTATTGGTAATGCAGTACAAACAACGATACACCCATCATATTCAGTGAAAAAAAGTTATTTTGTGCCATTATTCCTCAAAATTATATTGCATGCCCCTCATCCTCACTTATTTACTGATGATGAAGTACCTTAATCTCGAATACAGGTTGTAGTTATCCCATATTAGTAGGAATAATAAGCTAAGAAAAATGCAGGTCAAATCTGCTAAAACTCTTGGTGCCGGACGAAGCACAAATTTGCCTCAGTTTTTCTCCCAGACGGCATAGCCATCTCCGTGCGCCACGACCTGGAAGCCTTCTGGGATGAGATGCTCACAATCGTATCTTGATCCAATCTTCACGATGACCTTGCCATCGATCTCAGCGAGGTAGAGGTCAGCGTCGGCCTCGATGATGCGCAGCTGACTGTCCGCCTGGATCCCGTGGCGGTCCCTGATGGACACCAGGTGCGCGATCTCGTTCTTGAGGCCCCAGTCGAAGAAATGATCGTAGAACTGGGGAAGAAGAAATATAATCACAATTTTTTCTTCAGTTCATCACTATCATGCACGGCAATTTACAGCTTTTCAGAGGTCAAGAACTCACGATGGATGGGTTCCCGGGGTGCGTGAGGATGTAGGCGTAGCCCTGCATGACCTTGTCGGCGGGGAATGGCCACATGTGCTGCGTGGAGCCAGTGTCGTGGTTGTCGACGAAGGTGACGGCCTTGGCCGGCCACCATCCGATCAAGCCGGGCGCCTTGCCGTCGGCGCCGCGCAGCCGCCACAGCTCGCCATCGACGGCGACGTTGAGGATGCCCTTGGTGGTGAAGTCGAACGTCGTGGCCGGGCTGGCCTTCCCTCCCACACGGTCCAGCCAGTTCACCAGCTCCTGCCGGTGCGCGTTCTGGTCGTAGAAAGGCTTGCCGTCGCCGCCGTAGGCCAGCGAGGTCCATATCTCGGCGACGGCGAAGCAGGGCTCGGTGTTGTCGATGTAGATCTTGGCGACGTCGGCGGAGTAGCCCTTGGCGAAGTCGAGGCGCCACGCGTCGAAGCCGATGTCCGTCTTGAGCCAGTTGAGCCAGCCGATGAGCTCGCGCTGGACGCGCGGGTTCAGGTGGTCGATGTCCGGTGCGCCGCCGAAGTCCGCGCCGGTGTCGGGGTTCCCCGTCCCGTCGGAGTACGCCCTGTCGTCGCTGCAGATCATGTGGGGGCCCCAGTCGAGGCGGGAGTCCGGCGTGCCGCCCTCGAAGAGGCAGTAGATGCCGCGGCCGTCCTGGTGCTCCGCCGTGCGGTGGTTGATGACGATGTCCGCGATGACCTTGACGCCCTTGTTGTGGAACGCCTCGATCAGGGACTTGAGCTGCGCCTCGTTGCCATACTTGGACGCGTCAAGATCGTACAGGCGTCCTGGCAGGTAACCTGTGCACGTCACCACGCGAAGGAGACGTGCGGTCGGCACAGCCCACAGGTTAGCACATGCAAGACAGTGAAGTACCTGGCTGGTATGCAGCGCACTGGTCGGACCGTGGGAGCTACAGAGTAGAGGAGAAAGCAAGCACCTTGCTCGGCGAGAGAGTGAGACGCCGGAGGGAGCCAGACATGAGTGATGCCGGCCTCGGAGATGTCGTCCACCTTGCCCATCAGGAAGTTGTACCATCCTCCGTTCTGCTTCCACGACTCCCAGTTGAAGCCCTGGTGGAAGGTGGCACGAACTCAATCTCAATCTCAGTAGAAACCACTGTTAGCAACTGATGTGTGATGAACAACACTAAAACTTACCTGGAACAGGATTTGCCCGGCCACCAAATTGGACGACAGGCCCAGAAGGACGAGGAACAGGGCGAAAGGCAAGCGCTTGTTCGCCATGTTCTTCAGCTCTGCGCCTCCTCTGGTGTGCTTAGGAACTGGAGGAGATGGCTGGATGGAGCTGGACGGTACAACTGGCCCGGTATTTATAGGCGAGCATGCATGCCGGATGTGCTTGAGCTTGAGGCTCGAGCGTTGCTTTCTCACAGTGCATTAATAACCGGCCGCCGCCGGAGCTTGTCATCGGCCGGTGAGCCCATCCATAGACGATTTAACGACCAATGACGGCGGAGCCCTCGAAAGGCAGCCCCGGTCAAGACGTTTGTCTGTTACCCCTGATGCGGATCGGTAACGTGCGTGAGCAATCCTGAAGCAAAAACACGCGGCGGAACTGCGTCCGCGCGCAACCGATCGATTGGAGAAGAGAACCAGCAACCGCGAACGGCATGGCGTTTGCGAGGATGCCGGGTTACATACAGATCGAGAATCAACGGCGAGTTGCGACAGAAAAACTGCAGGGACACGAACGTTCAGACTTCAGAGGTCCTCACTCATCAGAGGGCATTTACAGTTTACTAGTGTCTGTGTCACTGAAGAAAAATCTAGCGTTCAGATATTTGCACCCCTCAAAGCCAAGGTCAACATAGACACTGAAGAAAGAAACCATGGTCACTGAATGAAGTGGTATTTGACCACGCGTACGCGCTGCAGGCTGTATACTGCTTCGATGTACTGTATAAGTATGTGCTACAGGTTCATTTCAGGATATGCGCCCTGTTCGCTTGGGCTTGTTTGGCTGATAAGCTATGGCTGAAAGTACTATCGGCTGATTTGGTGTGAGAGAGAAATAATATTCGTTGGCTAAAAAAGTATGGCTTATAAGCCAAACAAGCCCAGACGAACGTGTGATGGTTCGTCTCTCGAAGCGGATAACTCTAGGAGCTATGAGTTTCGACTCTAGCAAACTTCCAGCAAAGAGTGCCTGAACAACTTGACAGCTCTACTCATCGACCCTACACCATTCTCGGATCAAAAGCGATCCAGGAAGTTTATCCGAGCTGCATTCGTTCGAGAACCATAAGTGATCCACGTCGATTTCTTGACGAGGATAAGGTAGCCCACATGATATTTCACCCAGATTTACGAGGATAAGGTAGGGGAAACACGTTTTTTTTTTAGCATGGGCACGGCAAATTTCACCCCGGATTTAAATCGGTTACTCCAAGCTTTGCCTTGCGGTTGCAGCTCTCCGCATCCTTTTGGGATCCGCCAAACCGCCTTTTCCTGCTCATTGCTCATGCTTCTGTATAAGCAGACTCCGTTACCAAGCCGGTAGCCATGATTGGCTGATAAGTTGTCAGATGCTGTACCAACTCTGCAGAACTAGCACAAATAATTTTTCTTCAAAGCAGAGAGTAGTTTTGATGCCCTACTATGTATGTATAACAAGCATAGATCAGGTTCTTTTATCATCAAGAGAAAAATGAAGTGCTCCTGAAGTCATGTTGGGTAATCATGCTGAGCTTGTGCCTGTAACCTGTATAAAGAAAAAAGAAGAGAGAGAGAGAGAGAGAGAGAGACTAGAATGCTCAACTTGATGAGTAAATAAAACAGGCCTTAAAAACCAATTGGAGACGCGGGGAATCGAAGCCCGTGCCTCTCGCATGCGAAGCGAGCGCTCTCCCCTTTGACGTTGGAGCATACATTACATAAAACTTCCCATGGTGTACGGTGTACCTATCTTTTGTTAGATGGCCACCCATTCCTTAGCACAAGGCAGTTACAAGCTCCTGAATAACATGTAGCTCATTTAACACATGCCAGATTGTAGTACAACTCATCTTATATGCTTATTTTGACATCATGAATGGCCAGATCGCCCGAAAGATTATTAATGATTTACAATAGTGTGGGGTCATTTAGCTCATGCATTTCCTATGATAAAAGAAATATAAGTATGTTTAATTTAATGTTGTTCCAAGTCAAAAAAAAAATCTAACTTTAACTAGCAACATCTTAACTGAACTTCCCCTGTTGACACAAGCTTTTGATGAGCTCCAACTCCTTCAAGATCACCTCGATGCCATACCATATGATAAGAAATCCTCAGACTCGTGGGAGTCACTTTGGGGCCCTAGATACTCTTCTAGAAAGTTTTATGCATATGTCTTCAGCACCATGGAGGTACATCCCATCTATAAAATGATCTGGAGGTCTTCTCGCTGCACACCACGAGTGAAATTCTTTGCCTGGTTAATCCTGGTGGACCGGCTAAATACAAAAGCAATGCTGAGAAGGAGGCACCTAAATACTCAAGATGACGCGTTATGTGTAATGTGCAATGATGGGGTAGAAGAACACATTGAGCACGTCTTCTTTTCCTACCCGTTTCCACAACATTGCTGGTCTACCATCAACTTCCATTGGGACGTCGCCCTTCTTCTTCGAGAACGGTTCGTGAAAGAAAGAGAGCTCCAGCGTCTGACTTTTTTCACAGAGGTCGTGCTTATAGCTTCTTGGGAACTTTGGAAGCTGCGGAATGACAAGATCTTTCAGAGAAGGGACCCAACTCATGTACTTTGGCTTGCTAATTTTAAGAACCAGTGTCTTGTACAGTCGATTAGATTCAAGGAAGACCTTAAGTCCTCCTTTCTCTTTTGGCTAGATGCTTTCAGTTAATTCAGGTCTGTAACTCTGTTGACCTCCTTTTAAATATATTTAAAACCACTATGGGGGTCTCCTCTACAGTTTTCTGTCAAAAAACATCTTAATTGAAAATTTGGTAAAAAGAGATCGGCTGGTTGATTCGTTACAGGACGCAGCTTTGGCACACACAAAGGATCAATTCGGAAATCAGATACGATTGCCAATGCTCAGGAATGAAAAAAATTATTATTTTGGTTGGATGTATATTTGCACAAGGCATGGTTCAATAATTAATGTATATTTGCATGCATGCAAGGCACGACATCCCTAAGCAAGTTGATTTGGACTTTCCGAAGTACATGGAACAAGACTTGGTTACGCAAAGCACATATATGAGATCTTGGCCTGAACTACGTGTTCCATTGGGATGGCAACTTCGGAAGCAAAGAGAAAAGGATCTGAGCCCAAATGGTACACGTGCTGTTAAAGTCCAATTGCGACGCGAGCTAAGCACCGAATTGGCCTCTTTTGTCGATGAGGAGATATTGTTTAATATATTTGGAGAGAAAGGCATGAAGATCGGGTGCTTCTAACGTGAATATGGAAAGCAAGAGGAGATGCAAACTAGAGTCTGTACACGAAGGAAAAAGGAATATTATTTTATTTAGGATAAAACATGTGTAGGGTCAAGATGACGAACTAGAGGGGGTGAATAGTCATTTCTAAAATTAAACGCACCGGCTAATCGTAACAAATGTGGAATTAAAATTATCGGTCTAGCCAAGACTACACCCCTCTATCTAAGTTCGCAAGCACCTTATAAAAATCCTAATTAGGCAACAAAGGTGCCGGGCCAGCTAGAGCTCACCTAATCAATTCTAGAGTAAGGTCACACAAACCTATGCACTAGTACTTTGGCAACCGGAAGATCTCTTACACAATCTAGTAAGCAAAAGCACAAAGCTCCTCATGATGCAATCGTACTAGAGTCACTCACTCGCAATGGATTCACACTTCTCGCAAGCACAAGTGAGTTAGAGGCTTCTCAAACCAAGCACACACAAGGGCAACACACCCCAAGGTGCTCAAAGTCAGCCAAGCCCGAGCTCCACCTTTATTTATAGCTTCCAAGCCAAATAGAGCCGTTGGAGCCTTGAAGCACATTTTTGCGTGGTCACCGGACAAAAACGTGCGGGCACCGGACAAGGGGTGGCGGTGCCCCTACGGTCAAATTACAACGGCTATTTCAAACTAGCCGTTGGACAAGTGGGCACCGGACATAGGGTGACGGTGCACCGCCCTAGGGGTGGTTGTGACCACCCAGGCCAAACCCCTAAAACCGCACTCTCTGGAAAAAAGTGGCGGTGCCACCATCGAAAAGTCCGGTGACCATGGCAGTGCCCTCTTCATCTCAAAACCAACAACCACTAGATCAATCTTGTAGAGCATTTCATCAGTTTTCTGAAAAGTCCTAGATCATCAAAATCGCAATTCGGAGCTAAGAGTTATGCCCAAAATACGAAAGGGTGCTGCTGCTGTTTTTGGGCACGCTGCAGGGCGTGGCGGTGCCACCACCCTGGGGTGTCCGGTGCACACCGGAAAGGGAGGTGCCACCCTCCAGGGAGGGCTGCGCGTTGGGTACAAGTTTGGTTGCGTTTTCCGACCCTCGGACAACCCAAACTTGCTCTTTTCTTCTTCTTTTCTTCCCCAACTTCACCAAGTTGATCCAAATAAACTCCAACAACTTCTCATTTGTAAATGTGCCAACACCACCAAGTGAACAACATTATGTGCAAGTGTGTTAGCATTTTCACGATCATTTTCCAAAGGATTAGTCACTCAAATCAACAAGCCACTCGATCCTAGCAACGATGCAAAGTTAGAACACTCGAGTGGCACTAGATGACCGATATGCAAACAAGTTTGCCCCTCTTAATAGTACGACCATCTATCCTAAACTCGATCATAAACTTCTCTACACACCTATGACCGGTAAAATAAAATGCCCTATAGGTTATACCTTTACCTTGCGCATTCCATTCCATCTCCTCTAATGTTGATGCAATACATGCACCAACCTTGATCAACAAATGATATGATCCACTTCATATCATCACGTGACCTTGTTGGTTCATCGATCTTGACCTCACTTGCTTTTCACCATTGCCTTCGTCCATCGGCGCTAGGTCTTGCTCAAGCTTCACTGCCACGCGGTCCATCGCTGCAAAGCCTCCAACTTGCCCTTCATGTTTGCAACCAGTCCATCAAGCCAAGTCTTGTCTTGATCTTCTCCACCTTAGTCACATGATTCCATGTCATATCCCATATGCAATAAGCTCCTTCATCACATGTATGAGCTTTGCAACATATCCAAGCTATTTTACCTCTATGGCATGAGTTGATCACACAAGTGT